GATCCTCCTGCCTCAGCCTCTCAAGTGCTGGGAGTACAGGTGTGTGCCACCACGCCCAGCGATAACAACTTATTTTAAAAGATAGCAGTTACATCTAAGGAGCTCAGGAAAGAGTGACTGAATTGTATCATACAATCTGCCATATATTAGGTAGACAGTTCCACCTTTGGAAGGTGGGAGGAAGTTTAGACAAGAGCTCCCCATCCCTGCCCAGATGTGCCCTCTATAGGCACAGGTCCGCTGAGAAGCCTGAAACCGTAATTCCTCATCCGTCTTCTAGACTCAGGAAGCTGTGACAGCCAGAAACAAGCATGTTTTTCACCTTGCCCCTTCATCTAAGAGATGGCAGGGAAGCTGCAATGAAAGCTGGAGCCTGGTTTTTAACAGCTTTTTCTCTTCTTGCTGTTGCTATTTTGGAGACTAACAACAACTTTTTGACAAGTCTCAGGTTTTTATTTTTATGTTAATGTTTTCATTAAAATCTTTTTGTAAATGGAACCACATAACAAATATGGGGAGGATACTGTGCCTTGTTTCAACCATTTTTGCTAATTTTTAGGCCAAACAATAATGGCTACCTAGAGTTTACCTTATTCTGTTTAATTAAAATCAGTATTTCTCTAAAAAATAATTACACTAAGTCAAGCATAATGATCCTTGCCAGTAATCTCAGGGCTCTGGGAGGCTGAGACAGGAGGAGTTGGAGCCCAGCCATGGAAACTTAGAGACTTAGTGAGACCCTGTCTCAAAAGAAAAAATAATAGTGGGGAGGTTCAATCCCCAAGACTGCAAAAAAAGTAAATAAACTGCCCCAAAGGGTTGGGTTACACTGTATCTTGCTCTGAGTCTGGCTCATCTACCCCCCTTGTATCCCATCCGGAGAGCCTCCCACTGGGTACATGTGCAGCTGAGTCTTGTAATACCTGCGCAGTACTCTGTCATAGAAAGACATTTTAGTTACCCTTCCCTCGTCATGCACGTCATGATTATTTCCTCTTTTCTTCTGATACAAATCATACTACACTGAACATCCTTGTACCAATAGTCTTAGCAAATAGTTATGGCTGTATCCATGGGGTACGCAGTATTTCTAGCTGGAAGATTGTGTCAAAGGAAAAACAGATGTGTTTTCCATACAGTTAAGACCAGATTAAGACAGGCAGAGGAATTGGGGTGCGAGGGCTGCTGCACTGCTAGCACAGCCAAGGTCCAGACGGCAGCTCGTGCCCCGAGCTCTCCTCCTATCCCCGCCCACCTGCCCGAGCCCAGCCCTCGGCCCCAAGCAGCAGTGCCAACGGGACCTGTCAGGACGTGGCCATCATGGGCTACAAGCACTCGCCCTCTTGTCTGGGCCGCTGACCTGGGAAAACTTTGTTAGCATCACACCAGCTGAAGTCGGTGTCCTGGCTGGCAAAGACGGGT